GGACGTCCCAGGGTCATGGGGCAGACTAGGAGGGGACAGTGGCCACTTCAGCTGCAGCGGTCACCTCTCTGAGGAGGTGACATTCAAGGTGTGCCGAGTTGAAGGACAAAAACGATGTGGCCATGGAAAGGGGAGAAACATTCCAAGATGACGTCATCAGAGCACATGCCACGAGACGGACACACGCTCCACACACCCATGGGGCAGAAAACAAGCCAGTGCGCCGGGAGCACGGGAAAGGTGTCAGAGGGAGGCAGGTCTGTGCGGGAGGATTCTTCACGGCCTGGCCAAGTCAGGGTTTTGTTTTAGTGCAACAGGAAACCAAGGGAGAGCTTTAAGAGGGGACCAATATCATCAGAATTTGGCTTAAAGATATCACTTTGGCCCAGGCTGCTGTGGCTCAGTGGATTGAGTGCCATCCTCTGAACCCAAGGGTCACCGGTTCGATTCCCAGTCAGGGCACAGGCCTGGGTTGTGGGCCAGGTCCCCAGTAGGGGGTGTGTGAGAGGCAACCACACACTGATGTTTCTCTCCCTCTCTTTCTCCTTCCCTTCCCTTCTCTCTAAAAGTAAATAAATAAAACCTTTCTTTAAAAAAAGGTATCATTCTGGCTGCTGGATGGAACATAGAAAATTACAAATCCACATACAAATACATATGTAAGTGCACTGTAAAAGGTCTGAAAGCAAAACATCACTTTGTTAACTAGGGTAAAAAGATTTGGGTCGATGGGGAAGGGGGAAAATAGGCAACTACATTTTTTCACATATTTCACATTGTATGGGTTTTTATGAGAATATATTCATAAATTACTGACTAGTTTTTAAAAATTAGTCACTACTGAAGATACTCCAAACAAGCTCCTCAGGGTGCCTAGGGGAGGTGATGCCTAGGAGGCAACGCCTAGGGGACAGAGTCCCCTGCTCAGTGAGGGCGGGCCGGCCAAAGAGCCGTGCGAGGACAGCCCCTCCGGTGGGCAGATGTCTTTGCTCACACATGCCCCTCCCACCTGCACCCCCTGCCTTCCCCACCGAGCAGACTCCTTTTTATTCTTTAAGATGACAGCTCGTGGGGGGCAGAGAGGAGAAAGAATGGGGACAACTGCAATAGAATAAACAATACTACTACTACTACTAATAAAAGATGACAGCTCAGTGTCCCTGCTTTCCCCAGGGAGTCTGAGTGCCGCCCGTCTGCCTCCCCGCCCTCCACTCACACATGCTGACATGTTCCAGCCCTTTCAGGGCCACATTCCAGTCGCTTGTGTACTCGTGACCAGGGAAGCAAGAGCTCTCTCTCATCTGCTCCTGTACCTGCAGCACTGGAAGCTGGCCTACCTCGCAGCAGGGGCCTCACGGACCTTCACTGGGCTCCGTGGCAAACCTCCGTATCTGTCCGCTTTCGTCCTGGGCACACAGCTGCCCGCCTGGTCACTGCCTCGGCCCCTCCTTCGTCCCAGCTTCGGGCACTGCCTGTAGGAATCTTCTCCCCAGTGAAGAGCCAAAAGGAGGTAAAGCGCCACTGGAAAGGGCTAGACTTGCACTTCCCGGACTGGAATTTCTTGGGAAGCTCAGAAAGAAAATCGTCCCAGCCGGCACACACGTGAAGAAAGCCGCATCCTCTGCCGCCCCAGTGAGCAGTCACAATGCACATGAGCAAGTGAAAAGCTCTGAAAAGTCCTCCAGTAAAAAACCTTAATTCAGTGTTTCCCCAACGGTTCTGGTTATAGAATACTTCTCTTTCGCACACCTATTAAATCTTGCAGAATAATAACAAGGGCATTTACTGAGCATCTGCTATGTGCCAGGCACTATACCAAGGACTTTCTCACTCTCATTTTACTAATGAAGAAACCGAGACCCAGAAAGTTTAATAACTTGCCCAATGTCTGACGGATTCCAGACAAGCCCAGGTCTGAGCCTAGGCTGTCCAACTCCAGTTAGGACTTAACCTTAGTCACTCTTCTACCCAGCGCCTCAAAGTCTGCTCAGGTGAATGAGATCCAGGAAACGAGGATCCAGACAACAATAGAGTTTTGAAAAGCTTCAGCGCAAATACACATATTCTTGGCCTCTCCAGGCTGTTGCGACAGACACTCCTGTCACAAGAAGTTACACAACACTCCTGCACCATAAACTGAGTGCAAATGATACACCAGCATGAAATATACTACTCTGCAGGACCTAGGCTTAGAGGTGCCAGTAAGTTACTGACCAAACAAGTCTACAATCAACTCAAACTCTAAACATTTTGTGTTTCTCTGATGCCTATTTATCATGTCAGAATCTTAAAAGATGACAGTTTGGGGAGACATTTGTATGGTACAATGAAGGTCAAATCACACCTTATGGTTGCTTTGTTATTCAGGTTGCTAAATTCAAGCAAATTTGTGACCAGTAATAGTTACAAGTCTAGAAATAAATCCTAACATTTATCATGAACTGCTTTTTGACAAGAATGCCAAGATAGTTCAATAGGGGAAGGAAAAGCCTTTCCAACAAATGGTTCTGGGACAACTGAATTTCCACATGCAAAAGAATGAAGTTGGACCTCTTTCTTCCAACACATGCACAAATTAGGTCAAAATGGATCGAAGACCTTCATGTAAAAGCTAAAACTTTAAAACTCTTAGAAGAAAACATAGGAGCAGATCTTGGTGACCTTAAATTAGGCCAAGGATCCTTAGATGAGACACACAAGTGACAAAGAAAAAAATAAACTAAAACAAAATTAAAATTTGTGCATTTCAAAGGATACCATCAAGAAAATAAAATAATGCCTTGGCCGGGTAGCTCAGTTGGTTAGAGCATCGCCCTGATACTCCAAGGCTGTGGGTTCAATCCCCAGTCAAGGCACATACAACAACCAACCAATGATGCATAAATAAGTGGAACAACAAATGGATGTTTCTTTTTCTCTTCCTTCCTTTCTCTTTCTGAAATCAATAAGTTTTAAAAAAAGAAAAAAAAAACAATCCACAGAATGAGAGAATATATTTGTAAACCATATATCTGATAAGGGAGTTATTATCTAGAACATATATGGAATTCTTACAAGTCAACAATAAAAAAAGACAAACTAGTTGAAAAATTTAGCAAAGGATTTAAATAAACATTTCTCCAGAAAAGATATAAAAATGGCTAATGAGCGCACAAAAAGATGCTCAACATCCTTAGCCAGCAGAGAAATGCAAATTAAAACCATAAATGATACACCTCTTCACATCCACTAGGATGGCTAAAATATAAACGACAATGACAAGTGTTGATGAGGATGTAGAAAAACTGGAACCTTCATATATTGCTAATGGTAATGTAAGATGGTGTAAGTAACTTTGGAAGAGTTTGGCAGTTCTCAAAATGCTAAATATAGGTTTTCCATATGATCCAGCAATTCCACTACTGGCTACATACCTAAGAGAAATGAAAATGTACAACTACAGCCCTGGCTGGTGTGGCTCAGTGGACTGAGTGCTGGCCTGTGAACCCAAAGGCCACCACCTTGATTCCCAGCCAGGACCCGTGCCTGGGTGGCGGGCCAGGTCCCCAGTGGGGGACGAGCAAGAAGCAACCAATCAATGTTTCTCTCACACGTGGATGTTTCTCCCTCTCTCTTCCTCCCTCCCTTCCCCTCTCTCTAAAAAATAAATAAAATCTTTTAAAAACAGTTTTAAAAAAAGAAATTATACAACTAGAAAAAAACATTTACATGACAGGTACAAATGTTCAAAGCAGCATTATTCTTAATATCTAAAAATTAGAAACAACCCAAATGTCTACCAACTGATGAATGGATGAACAAAATGTGACATAGCCATACAGTGAAATATTATTCAGTAATGAAAAGGAATGATCACAATATATACAAATATCAAATTATTATGTTAGATATTTGAAATGAATCTAATATTATATGTCAGTTATATCTCAAGTTTTAAAAAGTTATATAGGGTACGCAAATCAGAAAAGTATGTCTCAGCAGAGGGCAGAATTCTGTTTGAAAATGTCATGGCCTCATTCAATACAGATTCCATTAAAAAAAAAAGAAGAAGTGCTGATTTGTGCTATAATATGGATGAACCTGGAAACACTATGCTCAATGAAAGAAACCAGTCACAAAGACACATATTGTCTTAAATGTATGTGAAATGTCCAGAATAGGCAAATCTATGAAGATATAAAATGAGAGAGTGGTTGCCGAGGGCTGCAGAGAGGGGGCAGGAATGGGGGGGCTAATGGGTATGGGGTTTCTTTTCAGGGCGATGAAGATGTTCTAACATTGACCGTGGAGACGGCTGCGCGCCTCTGTGGATGTGCCGCAAGCCACGGAGGTGCACAGTCTAAACCAGTGTGTGGTCCACGCATCACACCTCCATAAGGCTGCTCAAAACAAACTCCCGGGGAAGCACACCATCTGTAACCTCGGATGGGCTTCGTGGGCGGTATGTGATGGTGGTGGCGTGGGGGCTTCAGTCCCCAGGACAAAACAGAGCCATCTCACACTACGCCCCTCCTGCTTCCTCACCGCCCTTTCGCATTCGGTCTCCTGTTACACCTCTGCATACACCGTACACTCTTCTTTTCGGAACTTATCACAGTCTGATTATCTTCACTTGCATGATTCTTTAACGTCTGCTCTCTGGCTGGACTGTAAGCTCCATGAGGGCAAGGACCATGTTTTGTTCATTTCTATATCACTGGTATCTAACAGTCATTCTCAGATATTTGCTGAGTAAATGAACTTTCAACACCTAGCGAGCCATGTCAAATGAGACTCAATATCTTCTCAAGTTAGTGAATCGAAAGATCTTACTAGCCTACCAGTGGCGTCCGTTTTATTCAGTTAGGTTTTGCTTCGGGTCCAGTGACGGCGGAAGGAGCACGGCCCTGTGCAGGGCGTGAAGGGAGAGCAGGGAGAGCAGGGAGGGCGGGGAGGGCGGGGGCAGAAGCCAAAGAGGAACTGCAGGGAGCACAGGTGCTGGAGTAGGAAGACAAACTTACTTTTCTAGGTTGGCCATTTGCTTCACAGCTTCCACAGCCCCTGGCAGAGGCTCAAGGTCAAAAAAGAAATTCTCCGACTCCCATATGCTGATGGCCTTCTCCTGAGGAGAGAAGCACGTGAGTCCAGGGCCCTCCGCACCCTGCCTCTTGGCAGGGAGGATGCCACAGCCAAAAAGGGCTGCGGGTAAGAGAGGGTGGGGCTTCCGCATTCCCTTCACCCCCTCCCACACACCCAAGGACATATTTCCGGGCAGGAGGGGAATCCAACTGAGTGTCTACTGACTACAGCCCTCCCAAAGAGGGCCCTGACTCCAGCGAGGACCCAGCAGAGGCCAACGAAGGTGTCAGGGACTGTGGCTTCCAAAACCTGCTCTGCTGGAGGCGCAGACAAAGCTGTGGGGGCCAAACGTCATGAACCACACGTTTGCTTGATTCTAGTGGCCCGAGGCATGCTGGAGGCTCTGAGGATGGACCCTGAGAAAGAAGATACCTAAGAAGGGCTCTCAGTAGCTTGACTGGACTCAAATTTAAAAGTCTAGCAGCCAAATATACGTAGGGGCCTCTCACGCAAACCACACTCCAGGGAGAATCTCGCACTAAGCTGCCTACCTGCCAATCTGAGCAGCCCTTAGAAAGGAGCTCCTGGCACTTCAACCATAAGACTGAAGCTTTCCTCATCCAGTTAGAGCTGCACACCTACACTCCCATCAGAATTTTCACTGACCAATTAGAGCAGCTCCATTCTGACAATCCAGGACAGTGATTTTTTGGGTACCAAACTGTAAAGGCAGACCAATCAGGGACCAGGGGCAGGGACTTCTGTCTAGTCCGTCAGCTGCCCTCTGGCTCAGAGATCGATTTCCCTCTCCACTGAAGATTGGACTTCCCCAGCTGGAGGTAAACTGCTGAATGAAACACCAGAAACACTGAAGACATCTCCCAGACCGGAGCAGAGGAGGGCAGGGCAGAGAAGAGCAGAGCCTGGCTGGTGTGGCTCAGTGGATTGAGCGCTGGCCTGTGAACCAAAGGGTCTCTGGTTCGATTCCCAGTCAGGGCACATGCCTGGGATGTGGGCAGGTGCCCAGTAGGAGGCGCGTGAGAAACATTGATGTTTCTCTCTCTCTTTCTCCCTCCCTTCCCCTCTGTCAATAAATAAATAAATAAAGTCTTTAAAAAAAAAAAAGAAAGAAATGGAGCAGAGCTGTCTAGCCAGGTGCCCCAGTTTCACAGCCCTGAGGCCTCTAATGGAGTTGTAACACTAGTGAGCTGTTTTCGCAGCTGTGCTGTATCACAGTTGGGCTGTTTTGCACTAAATAAAGCTGCCTTCTTCACTGCACCCCAAATTGGGGATTCCTGTTGGCGTAAAATTGATAGCAACGACCGACCATTGGTTAACACCCCACAGTCCTTATATTCAAGAGCTGGAAAAACTCATCGAGTTCCTTAAGAGCACTGCTACGTCACGGTTGGGGGTCTGGGGGCCGGGACAGGGGGTGGGAGTGTTTTGGGGGTGGATGGTCAATGGGGCAGAGTTCCAGGCCCCTCACCCACATCAGTCAGAACAGCTCTATTATCTGTGCTACATCTTGGGCTGCCAAGAAACACTTTGTTTAAAAGAAAGAATTCTAGAGCCTTTAAAGGTTGAAACCCAAAACTCCAGTCCCTCATTTCATAAGAAAGCCGAGGCTCAGAAGCAGAAGCAAGTTACCTAATCTTAAATTGCAAAACAGTGGCCGAGAGGGGAGAGGCCCGTCTCAGCCGCAGCTGGGAGCTCTAACCTCCTGCTGCTGAGCCGAAATCAAGTCTGCGGAAGGCCACACCCCTCCAGGAGCTGGACCAGGAGCAGGACCAGGACCGGGGGAAGTGGTGACAAGATGACAAACCCCGGCCGCCGCCGAGAAGCAGGAACCCAAATCCCCTGTGTGCTGCGCAGGAAGTGCCTCTACCAAGTCAGAAGCTATACGCCTCAGGACAAGTGCCACCACCCCATCGGTGACCAGGTGCAGTTCACTGAGGCCACACTGGCAACTACACGGAGTACATGAGTGCTTATTGCTAACATGTTTTCCTTTGACCCTCACATCCCACATGGAGTAAGAACTGCTATCCCCAATTTACAAATAAGGACATTGAGGCTCACACATTTTTTTCAAGGCCACTTATGGGTGTTACTGTCAGAACCTGAGCGTGGGGCTTCTAATTCCCCTGGAGGCCGTGTAGCGAGGTGGGAAATGGGCTGCCCCACGGAACTGTCCGAGTCCTGGCTGCTGCGGCGCGGCCCGGGGCTGACCGCCTCACCTCACGGCCTGCGTCCCCGCATTTCTTCCCTCCCTCCTTCACTCGCGCGCTCTGAACCCTGGTCAAGGCCCTTGCTCTCTCTGGGCTCCTCCACTGTGAGATTCTAAGTGGGTTCCAATGAGCTGAGCCTCCTGCCTCCGCCCAGCTTGCCTCGCAGGGCGCTGTGGGGATCACAGGGGATACGGGCAGACTGGTGTTTCGGAAAGTGGAAGCGCCTACAGAGGTAAGCGGGCTTGGTGGGTGGGTTGGTTGTTTTCATCCACAGACGCTGGGCCAAGGGGAGACCCAAGGATACTCTGCTGGGGGCTGTGCCGGTAACAAAGGGCGTGTGTCCATCTATGAAAATCCCTCTTCCTGCAATGCTCTCAGAAGCGGAAGTCGGCAGGTCCCTCCCAGGACACCCCCTCCTCAGTGCCCCGTGAGCCCTGGCTTTTTCTTTGTACTTGGAAATGGCAATTCATCTCCTTAGACCCAAAGGCCATACCTCTGTGCAAAACACTAAAAAAGCCACTGTCCTTTTCAGAGATGGGGGTAGGCTTAGTTTAATCACCCTAATATACGAGGAGGGGCCCCCAAAACCCAGAATTTATTTATAAAAAATTGCATATTTATTCTTACATGTTTAAACTTCAGTCACCTTCAAAGTCCTCTCCATTTGATGCAATACACCTATCGAGACACTTTTCCCGTGTTCGAAAGTTTTTGAACTTGTTGACTTTGATGCCTTTTAGTGCTTCTGTCATTTTTTTGTTTTGGCTTTTCCACATCGGCAAAATGTTTGCCTCTGAGGACTTTTTTCATCCAGGGAAACAAAAAAAAGTCACTCAGGGCGAGACCAGGTAAATAGGGAGGGTGGAGCACAGGGGTCAGGCCGTTTTTGGTCAAAAACTGCTGAATACGCAGCGCGGCGGGGGCAGGTGCGCTGGTCAGTCACCCACCATGAAAGGGGCAAACACAATGAAAGCATCTTCAAAAAAAAATTCACTGAAGCCAAACACAGCCTCTCACAACAACGCCAGCTGGTGCACTGACACAGATGGGTTCCTGGAACACTCACCTCGCGGGGGAGCCTGTGCTACAAGGGGCCTGCCCTGCAGAAGATAATTCTGCTTTTCTTGGAGGGTCGCCCCTCATACTCCCGGGAGGAAATAAGGTGCCCAGATGGCCAGTGTTGTGCATGGCCTATAAAGGAGCACACACAGAGCAGGGAGCATGCACGGAGACTGCAAAAATTCCTGGGGTATTTCTCTTAAAAGTTTTTAATTAGGCATCAGAACTGGAAGAAGTCAGCACTGGGATCTGGGAAAGTCACCTCCCGAAGTGCCTGGTGTTAACGAGACACAGAAACAGCACTTAATTCCCTTTTTAACATCTGCCTCCTCAACCAAACCAAAATTACTGTCCAGGTGACTTTTATAAGTCAGAAGGGTGCTAGGGAGGCACATAGACTTGGGTTTCAATCCTGTTTGACCCCCCACCGGCATACTGGACTCAATAACGTCTGCCTCACAGAAAAGAGGCGATGCAGCCAGGAGGCGGGAACCCGCTAGGTTCTAATATCATCATCATCCTCAAACCCTCTGACAGTCCCCCTAAGGGGCAGATCAAGGGATGCCGGAGAACACCCAGCCTCTTTAGGTTTGCGTGTGGCAAAAACAAAAACAAAACCCTGTTCCTTTCGCAAAACAGCTTAAATTTACAACCCAGGCTGGCCGCTGTGCCCCTGCCGGGACCCCGCCTCCCTCAGCGCCCGCCGGACTCGAAGCGCAGAGCACCCTGGGAGCCGGCGCCCAGCCCAGCTCGGGCGCTCCGCACGGCCGGCGCCGACGCTGGTCCCGCACCGACTTGACCACGACGCACTGGGTGAGGCCCACGGAGTCACTCAACCTCCCTGGGCTTCGAATTCCACTGGGAGCTATGCTTTTATGGAAGGGGGCGAGAGAGAATGGTGGAAACACAAACTCAGGAGGATGAAGAAATGGAAGAGTGCCTGTGTCAGGGGTCAAAGAGGACTTTACTTGTAATGTTTATTTTATTAAAAATAAAAGGCCTGAAGCTAAATACGCCCAAAATTTTAAAGTCAGCCGATTATATAGAGTTAGGTATATTACGCTTTATAGTCTCCTGAATTTTGAGAAGCCCTCGATGACAGCCAACAGTTACTGAGCACAAAGCTGCCCGGTCGGTCGTTGCGGCTCTGGTCCTTCCCAGGACGTTAATTTACGAGACCACCCCGAGGCTCGCGGCGGTGACCCACCCAAGCCCGGGCTGGGGAGGCGGGCCTGGGTCTCCCCGCCCTCAGTGGCGCTGAGCCCGGGGTGGAACCGCGGGGGTCGGGGGATGCTCACGCTCAGCCCAGGTTGCAGGCGGCCGTACTGCTCGGACACCCAGAAGCCGCGCCGGTCCTCCAGCGCGATGAAGGGCTGGTCGGGGAAGCGAGCGCGGAACTTCCTGAGGAAGCCGCCCTCGAAGTCGGCCAGTACGCCGTCCAGGTCCACCAGCACCCGCAGGGCGCGGCCGCCCGCCCGGCCTGCCGGCCCGCCCGCCACCCAGCGCCGCCCGGCCGGGACCGCCGCGCCGCGGGGCCACCGCGCGCACCAGCCGCCCAGCCAGATCATGGCCTCTTGCGTTCGCTCGCCGCGGCCGGCGGGGCTTGGGCCGGGCCGCCACGCCGGGGCCGGCACAGCGGCATGGTGCGCGGAAGAGAAAGCCCTGTCCGCCGGAGCGGGCCGGGGATGGGAGGTTAGGGGTGGGGGTCGCGGGGAGCGAGCGCGCAGGCTCCAACCCCAGAGCGAGGCTGCGAGCGCGCCTCATCCAGGCGCGTGGCCGCGCTGCCCTTAAAGGGACACGCGACCCCGCGGAGACCGGGCCGGAGGAGCGTGGCTTTGAAGACAGTCCCGCATGCTGGAATGTCTCTGGAGCATCCACCCTCCGGCTCTCCACTCACATCTTCTCCCAGGCCCCTAGTCCTGGGCCCGGTCCTTCCACTAGCAGCGAGGATGGAGGAGCAGGGCACGCCGTTGGAACAAGCCTGTGTCCCTGAAGTATTTATTGAGCACTTATCTCTGCGAACAAAACAGGCAGGGTTCCTGAATCCTGAAACTTAGGTTTTGGAAGGAAAGGCAGGCAAAAAGCAAATGCATGTACAGAACAGCCAAAATACTTCCAGAGAGTGCAAGCAATGTAAAGGAACCAAATAGTGAATGTCTGCGGAGAGCCTCATTTTAGTAGAACAAATAAGTACCTTGCAAATATCACAAAGCCTTAATAAAACTGATGATTTTCAAATAAATCTAGAAATAAATACGTTGTTATCCACCCTGGGATAGGTTGATGGAGAGGCGGAGGGACTGGAGGGGCGGTTCGGGAGGGCCGCCTGCAGGAGGTGATGCCCCCGCAGAGGCTCGCACCACGAGAAAGGGCACGCGGAAGCCCAGGCACAAGTGGCCCCGGTAGCAGCCTGTACTTGCCGAGTGTCTCCGATGTGCTTGGTGGTGGATATCAAGCAGTGAACAAAGTCCTCCCGCTCATGGAACTGATATTTATGGATCTTTCTGAAAGTATGATAAAGTGATCCAATGTGAGGTCAGAGAGATGGCCAGTGAGAAAGGAGCGGGGTACAGCTGGAAAAGTAGGTGGGCTGTGGGGTCCCCGGACCCATGCCACATAGTAGGTCTTCGGTCCCCTAGCTCAGCTGGTTGCTCCTAAGGTACCTCCTGAATTCAAGGTGGAGACCAGGCTGATTCATCCCTGTGTCCTGAGTGAGTGAGTGGGTGCGCGGCGGTGAGACCTTCAATGCTGTCCCTGCCTCCTCTCTGGCCCCTAAGATTTTCCACTGTGCTTCTTTACCTTGACAGAAGTTCTATTCTATTACATCACTGTCTTCTTTCATAATTGTGCTGTGAACACTTTGATACGGGAAAGTTTGAAGAACTCTACAATGAAGATGAAAACGCTCACCAGCTGGATTTCGCGTTAAGGGCTCGCTCCATTTGCGCTCACGTTCTCCATTGCGTCCCTCCGCGCAGCCACCTGCCATCGGCCCCCCTCGCTCCCGGGTGCACCTGGAAGCCGGCTGCAGGCGGCAGTGCTGGTCGCCACGAAGCACTTCGGCCTATGCGAAGTGGCCTTCATGGGGGCCATATATTTAAAGGTCAATTTGACAAGTGAAATACACAAATTCAACTTTATCATCCCATGGGTTTTGACAAATGCATCCCGAGCAAGATACAGACCAGGGCTGTCGATAGAAGAAATCTGCAGTGATGGGAAGGATCCGTGCTGTTAAGATTCAGTAGCCACTAGCCACCCATGGCTACTGAGTAACTGAAATGTGGCCACTGTGACTGAGGAACTAAATTTCCCTTGTATTTAATTTAAATAATTTAAGTTTAAATAACCCAGGTAGCTGGTCACCAGTGCTGACTTTGGACACCCCCACCTTCCTGGAAAGTTCATTCCCGCTCCTTCTTCATCAGCCCCTCTGCCGCTGTTCTAATTTTTTCCACCACAGATGAGTTTTGTCTCTTCTAGTCCTATAAAGGGATCATCATACTCTATGTACTCTTTTTTTACCTATTTCCTTCACTCAGCATGTTTTTAAGAGTCATTCCTATTTCATTGAGTAAATATACCTCAGTTTACCCATTCTCTCATTGATGGACGTTTGGCTGTTTCTAGTTTTGGACAATTACAAGTAAAGCTGCTGTGAACATTCATATGAGACTTTTTGTGGATGCATTTTTTTTTCTCTTGGGTAAACACCTAAGATTGGATTGCTGAGTCACAGAGCAGGTATAAGATCAGTTTTACAAGAAACTGCAAGACATTTTTCAAAGTGATTGTGCTGTTTAACCGTCTCACAAGCAGCGTTCAAGAGTTCCGTTAGCTCCACCATATCCTCGCCAGCATTCGATGCTGTCAATCTTTTTAATTTTAGCCATTCTGGTGGCTGTGTAGTGGTACCTCATTAGGTTCTATTCTGCACACATCATTATTTTCTGCATTGTTTACACATGGGTTGTTATTTTTGGTCTTCTCCTTTTGGAATGAATGTTCCATTAGGGTAAAACCCCGTCTGGGGTTTTTTGCTGATAGGCTCCTCATGGCTTGAAAGGGCCTGGCATACAGTGCATATTCAATGAATTCATCCGCACATGCATCCAACAAATAGCTCTTGAGTGCCTTGAGCAGAGGAGACATTATTATTCCCATTTGACAGGTGAGAAAATTGAGAGTAAGAGACAGGAGACCTCACCATGTTCGACATAGTAGATAATAAAGGCCAGTTGTGGCTAAGGTCTGTGGACGCCTCCTGTGTGGCAAGCACCATCCAGGCTCTGCATGCAGATGGTCTTCCTTAATCCCCACAAAGTTTCTCAGAAGAATACTAATATTAGCCCATTTTAAAAGGTGAAAACGCTGAAGCACAAAGAGATTAATTAATGCCCTTTGGTGTGGTAATTAAAAAACGATTTTGATACTCCCCCCTTCAGGTGGTGGAGGTGTCTGTTACCTTGGAAGTGGGCTGGATTCAGTTATTTAATTTTAATGAATATGGTGGAAGGGATGGCTTATGATTTTTAAGAATAGTTCACAAAAGGCTGTGGCTTCCGCCTCCCGCTCCTGCTCTCGCTCGCCTGCTCTCATTACTCACACGCCACGTCCAAGGGCCTGCGGCGGCTGCACGGAGACTCCCTCCAAAGGAGGGACTCAGCGCCCCGCAACAACTGGAGAAGAACAGAGACCTCCCAAGCACAGCGCTGGGTGCGCCCTCATGGAGGCAGGGCCTCTGTTCCCAGTCAAGCTTTAAGAGGGTACAGCCCGAATGGGCACCTTGACTGCAACCTCATGAGAGAGCCTGGCTCAGAGCCCCCCAACTCAACTGCCCTCAGATCTGTAACTCAGAAACTGCAGGAGGTAGTAAATGTTGTTTCAAGCCTCTAAGTTTTGGGGTAATTTTTACACATCAACAGGTCCCTAATACACTAGGTCACTAGTGTTAGAACTTGGATCGAAATCCAGGCGGCCTGTCTCCAATTGCCATGACGTTCACAATGATATCTGTCCTTCAGCGAGTGTCTCCCACGTGCCAAGCCCTGGGAAATGCTCTCTTGGCCTTAGCGGCTTTGGGTGGGAGCCGGCACCCCGATTTCTGTGCTGGACGCAGTGACTGGGATTCGGGCTGTGGAGCTCAGCTGCCTGGGTTTCAACCCTGACTCTGTCACTTATCAGTCTGACACCCTGACGTGTCTTTTAACATCACTTGGAGTCAATTTCCTCATTTGTAAAATGGAAACAATGGTAGGATGTACCTCATAGGGTCATTACGAAATTACATGGGTTTTTACATGTAAAACATTTAGAACTGAATCATGCACGCGGAAGGCACTTCGTCCATAGCAGCTGAGTTACCTCGCAGGTTATTTTCTATCAGTCGCGGTGACTGACAGCACGCCAAGCACTTTAGCTTGTGGAATCTCCCCAGGGACGCTAGGATGGCGACACAATTGTTTCACAGGGTGGAAATAGCCTCACCGAGGGGAAGTGACTTTTCCCAGGGCACAGAGCTGGTAACGAACACAGTGAGCCTGTGAATCACACCCACGCGTCTTCGAGCGCGTCCTCCCATCGCGTTACCTCCCAGGCTCCGCACTCACCCAGACTTTGCGCGCAGCTGGCGGGGCGGGCGGGAACCCAGGCGTTCGCAGGGGCGTCCCGCACGCTCCCTCCTTCGCCCGCGTGCCCGAGCCGCGAGCCTCTCACTAAAATGTGCCCTCAGGTTCCGCCCCTTGTCCAGCACAAAAGGTATGAGAAATGTTCTCATTGAATGGGGAATGGCCCGACACGTGCAGAAGCTGACTTTCTATAATAAAGGGGGTTATTTTTGCCTTAGTGGTAACGAAGCCAGCTTGCCGAAAGTGTTGTCTTGGATACAACAGATCGGGAGCTCCTGACCAGAGACCCAGCCCTTGGGCCTGTGTCCCCTCCCATTATCCAGGCCAGCATTCCCTGGTGGCCTCTCCCTGCCAGGATGGTTCCCGCGAGGGGAATAGAGCCTGGTTTGGCAACATCAGATCCACTCAATGCTCTTGCTTTCCCCATAGGGTATAGCTACTCACATCTGTCCCTACCCCTGTGCTAGTCTACAACGAGGTGCATGTGACCCTGTTAGCCTTTTGGGGTGGCCTGCTTGCCTTGCTGTTGAAGCCTCTGGCCTGGCTTTCCACCTCTTTGCAATATCCCCTCACTGAAACTTCCATGTTCTGACCACTGTACTGCAGCACTGGATACACCTGAGTCACCTGTAAGCCCTGCGCAGGTCACAGCAACGAGGACACTCCCTCAGTCCACTCCGTACTAGACACCTCACTCGGACAGGGCGGACCTGCCAGTGAGAGGCCGTGCCGGCCCAGCCCCTAGTCGGCGTGAGCCGTTCCCCTGCCGGGGCCATGGTGCGTGTCTAACTGGCCTGCGCTTGGGAGTTTCGGCCAGAAGACGTCAGGGCCAGCCTCTGACTGCTCCCCGAGTTAAATTCACTCAGGAGCCCAGTTCCGGAACTCTTTCCCTCTTCTCCCTAGATATCTAGAAATTCCCTTTCCACAGAGTTCACTCTATGTCGGTCTTAGAGCAAACCTCAGACAGAGCACCATGCTTTGCCTTTGGTATACAAAAGGAGTTTTGGAATTGAGAAATCTTAGCCAAAGAGCTGGCTTTAAATCACATGACCTCTTTGTCCCCATTGCTGCTATCTGCCTTTCCCCTTCTGGAGAGTAACGAGCCCAACGGCTCGAGCTTTTTA